ATTCCCATTTTTTCCAACCTATCAAGTACTTCGTTAATTTTCTCTACACTTGCGAAAGGCACGTTACGTTTCTTTTTAAAAATTGGCATAGTATTTTCCTTTAATTCAAATATGGCTTCAAACTTTTTACATCTTCCAAGACCAGGTGTGAAAGTTTCCGGAAACTTTTTCTTTAATTCCTCTTTAATGTCCTGTCTTGTTTGCGTATTACTTTCTACTTTTCTGCAGAATGAGTTTAACGGTTTATCCACAATTCAGATGTTTCAATAAAATCTGTACCCATCAAGTTTTCCATTTTTCAGAATGAAAACTTTTATTTTTTAACTATCCCGTTTAATTTCATGGGAAGTACAACCTCGCCTTCAATTTAATTCCCTTTCCAGTTACTGTTCGAGCGCGTTTCGTTGACTTCATTATTGTAGGCCTTTTAAAATTTTCCATGTTTTATAGTTCATTATTGTTAAATCTGAACTCGAATCGAGTTGAAATTTGATATTCTTTTTCGTTTAAAATATTTCAGTTGTCACATTTTTACTTCCTCAAATCTCTATCTGATTTGATATTTGAATTTGTTTGTCTAATTCGGCTATTGACTTTTTTTCGTTTTTACAACACGACCCTTTGTTTTTGACCATTCTTGTGGCACACGAAACATTTTTTTCGATTTCTATATAGGCAATTTAAACCTCCCAGTGTCTGTCGTTGCAACGTCTACAATTATATGGGATGGAACCTTTTTTTCTCATCGTTCTTTTCATTTAATTTTTCTTGTCTATTTTTTAAATACGCCGAATTTTTTACTCAATTTTTTTTTCTGATGGGTAATTTGACTGTTTTTTATTTTTTTAATATAAGCAATGCCAGTTTCTTCGATTTTTTGAGACTCTTTCTTTTCCTCTTGCTTTTCTTGAAACTTTCTTTTAAAAACTGTTCACTTTGGACGCTGCTGACTTTCGCGATACTTTAAAGCGCGGATCTGAAGAAACCTCAAGAGTTCCAACGGAAAGTTTAAAGCGCTTCAAAAAAATCGAATTCTTACAAAAAAAATTGTTCCACCATACAATTGAATCACGCCCAAACCTGAGAACACAAAGGATCGTGTTGTAAAAACGCAAACATGGCACCAGCTGAACTAATGTTCGCTAGGAAAAGTTAAGTCAGTGTTTGACAATCTTTTGCCAGGAAAAAATAGAGTAAAAAAAACAGGATACTATGTATACAGCGAGAAAAGATACACCGCCGGAGAAGGTGTTTTTCAAGTGCTAAAAAAAAACAACGTTGAGTTCTGGGAGCGAGATATAGTGGACAAGAGAGGATCAGTGACCTGATTTACATAATTAAAGGGCCGAAGAATACTCATAAAAACATCGGCACCAGAACCAACTTAATAAATGTTATAGAGCATGAAGAGAATTTCAAGATACCGGATGAGGAGGAAGATCCCTATTGATGTAATGTATGATATGTTTCAAGTAGAACCTCCACAGAATAAAATCGTTACTCCTGAACCAAGAAGATCCCATTGGTAGGAAACGGAAGTTCACAGACCCACTGGACGTGAATCCAAGACGGAAAAAAATATTAAAATTAAACGGATGGACATATGCATATGAAGTATGCAAATGGATCTACAAAGAAATAGCCATAATCATCAACCCATATAGGAAGCCAGTTTGAAATCCAAAAGGGATTCCAAGGAGGGGGTGTTTTGGTAGGATCCACCTAATTTGCATAGTGGAGTACCGACCATATAAATATGGTTGGTACCGGGAAGACGAGGGGAGGAATCAAGAGATTCTATCCAGAGACTCCGCCCGACTGCGACTAAGTCAACACATTCTCCAGGAACGGTCTTACCAGGAATATGCAAAAGACTATATGTAAATATTGTGTACACTTTTTTGTTTCAATACATTTTGTTCTAAGTACATTTTGTGTTGTATTATTATTCCATGCATTAGTCAAGTTTCAACAGAAACCATGATGGGTAACATTATGGTTTCCTACCTGAAAGTGTGGCACAGATCCGAAGACGCATTGGGGTAGCCAAAGACGCATTCCAAAAGTTAGGCAGAGTATTACGAGACAGGAGGTTTTTGTTAGTAACAAAAAAGAGTACTGAACTGCTGTGTGAGGTCTGTCCTCCTTTACGACAGTGAATGTTGGATGGTCTCCTCAAAGATGATGAAGAAACCCGAAGCAACAGTGGTGCGGTTCTACAGAAGAATTCTGAGGAATACCATGGACCGAACCTATGAGCAAAGATGAGGTTTTAGAGAAGATACAAACAAAGAAGAAACTTATACTTAAGGAAGAGGCAGCTGAAATTTCTAAGACACGTAATGACAAAGGAGGGTTTGGAAAATCTGATACTCGGATAGAGGGAAAGAGGGGAAGAGAAAGCAACACGTGACCTACTGAACGGGCTTAAGCAAGTGGTTGAAAGAACAGGGCCTGGGGAAAATAGCAAAAAGACAAAACATTGAAAGCTACAAAGGACAGGAAATAGTGGAGAGCCATGGCACAGCACATAAAAAAGATGCGAATTCAATTTGAGGATGAAGTATTTTGTGTTTACTTTTGAATTAATGTCCACGGAAAAAGTCTAGTAGGCGGCTCATTAATAGGCCAAGCTTCTTCCTTGAAGTAGATATCATTTATCCCAGTGCAATCGCCGTGTTTCTTTGAGAGATAAGACTTCACAAAGAAAGCAAAAAAATATCCTAAAGCAACCAATGGGTTATTCTAACAACCTACGCACTCTCGGAAGAATTCAATTTCAATTGAATACTCTTGGGAAAAGCACGGGTTCAATTCTGTTAATAGATTCCACCACATATAATCTGCTGATTGCGACATGAAGAGGAGCTGGGCACCACCCGACAATTCCATGACGTACCGAAAGTTCTATACTGAAAATCTACGAAGACATAGAATAATTTTATTTAAAATTAACCTTCTTGTAAAAGGTATTTATCCGATTTCCCTTGATATATCTAACCACGTATAATCTGCAGCAGTTAAAAGAACTTGACACCACCAAGAAATTCCATGAAGGATTCAGATCAATACTCCATTTATCTTGGAGCACAGAATCTACAAGATACGATTGGTAAATTGTAGCCATTTTATATTTTTAATTTCGCGCATGCGCATTGCTTGTTTTTTTTTTATTTTGTCAAATGCACAGTATAGTATGTTCAATTGTGCACCGTCTGTGAGAAAAAAGTGCAACATGACGCAATTCACTCCGTCAAAAATTAGGAAATGGCATGCTTTACTGCTTGGCATTCGCACCGGAAACTCCAATGCGAACATTTTAGAGTGCTTGGTTGTCAAACTGAGTACAGTGCAGTGAGGATTCGAAAAGAGTTGGATGAGTCTAATGGTGAATACGATGGTCTTTGTTGTGATCACTAGTGATGACGAGGTTATGCCTCTTTTCGTCTTCTCACAGGGCCATAGACTCAAGGTTGAAGAGGTAGCGCTGCCCTGTGTCAAGAGGGTGGCTGCTAGAAGACCTTATGTCTGACAACATGACTCTACGACATGCCAGAAGAACAAAGCCATGGTTGTCAGACAATTTCTGCGACCACCCCACCCCTTACATCTGGCCACCTAACTCCCCAGACTGCAACCCTCTTGATTATTATGTGTGGGTCACTGTTGAGCGAGAGGTCAACAAAACTCCAAGTAACACCAAAGAAGAATTGAAGGCAAAGATTATAGTAGCATTCAATAAAACAAGGAGACCGTCCAGAAGAGTTGCAGGAGATTCCGATGTCGTCTGGAGGCCATGGTTGAAGCCAATGGTGATTTAATTGAATAAATTTACACTTTAGCATTTTAAGATATTTTTGTACAGTTTTGGTAAATATATCTGTTAAAATGAGATATCAGTGGTATTTTCATTTTTGTGTAATTTAGACGACAAATTATCCATCGCACACTGTAATTTTGAAGTTGATAAGGCGCTTCTTATATGCTGTCATAACTACATCATGATGATATAATTATAATTTATATTATCCAATCAAAAGCAGTTATACTATTTTCTACAGAAGAGTCATTATATTTCTTCTTCAAATGTTGTATTCGAAAACACACGCAGATACATGCATTCGTTAACCTTCTGGGGACTGACACAGTTAGGTGTGTCGCGTGGAGCTTGTGTGATATCAACAAGTAAACACACCGGAAATCTAATTGGAATCAGCTTACGGGCTCATTACTGTAATTAAGTGGCATGAAAATCCTGCTGAAACTCTATCGTAGATTCACCTCTAAGACGCCATATTGTTTTAACCATTTTTTTTTAATGAGATGATTTGACTTATGACCGCTCTTTTTTATTGGGCTTTTTTAAAAATTTATTTTTCTCATTTTATTCTTCTCATATTTTTTTTAAAGATGTCACATTTTATTTTCAACTTTAAAAGTCTAATTATTTCTAAGATATCCTTTTTTTTTAACAAATTTGTTTAATGTGATTATTTGACTTATTTATGACTGATCTTGTTTTTATTGTTTTGAGTTTTTTCTCATTTATTTTTTCTGATTTTTAAAATGTCAGATTTTATTTTCAAATTTACAGCTGCCGCCTTTCCATTCAGGAATTGCTTGCATATTACGACAAGTTGGATTATATCAACTGCAAAGTATTAATTCGAACGATGCGTGCCAAAGGACCTTCATTTTTGTTTCTAACGAAATATGTATGTGTCTTAAGAAAATGTTTAATTTCTGGAAGGCATTTTCTCTATTTCCATGCACCTGTCCCATTTTCCGTCTTGTGCAAAAAAAAAAAAAACTTGAAGCGACACAAACGTAGTTTTAACGACGGATGCTAATAATGCCATGTCCAAAACATGTGAGCAAAGAGGAAGTTTTAAGCCAATTAAGATCTTCAAGAAAATTCGCACTGTCAATTTAAAAGAGAAAGCTAAAATTTCGGGGTGACGACATGAGAAAAGAGGACTTAGAGAAGTTAACACTTGTAGGGAGCGCAGAACATATTTGGTTAATTTCTCTCTCTCTCTCTCTCTCTCTCTCTCTCTCTGGGGATAAAGCTGGCACAAGGCCACCCCAGATATACTTTCCAAATAAGACCTCTTTCCGTATTATTTATTTTATGCAGATTAAAAACTCTTGACGTCGGACAAGAGAGGAGAAGAAATAAGATGAACAACGCATTCAATTTGTGACATGAATCAACAAATATTTACATTTAGGTTGAATTGCATGCCAAATAGTTAGTTATATATGAGTGGCCTCCCATTAGGCGTGATAAATTACATGTCAAAATGTTTTCATATTAATAGATTAGACAAAGTTTGTGCGAAATGACTTTGACAGAGTCTTTGTAAGAATGAGTGAGTTGGGCGCAGGTTGGTCTTGTATAGATTCATGTCTGTCCCTTGAGTGTAAGGCCGCAACTAACTGATTTCTCGCGGGAAAATGTTTATATAGGATTTCAAACAACCTTATACTTTGGCGGTAAAAAAAGGTTATACTCACCTTTGTTCTGATTGGCTGAATCAATCCAATCAGTGGACATTTAACATGTCACATTCGTTTACTAAGTATGCATTTAATTTAACGTATGTGAGCATGTGTGAGGATGTGTGTGTATATATGTGTGTGTGTGTGTGTGTGTGTGTGTGTGTGGACGTACAGTTCCACACATTCATTGGACATAAAGGAGGTAAGATGAGTAGGCGTAAACAAGAACTAAGCTGCTTACCGTTGTTGAGGAAATGGATGGCAAAATAAGGGCAAAGAAGGGTGGTATCGAGTCAAAAGTTGCTTAGAGTAACAAAAAACAAGAGGTTGTGATGAACCACTGGCGTCAACATACCGAAAGCATATGGCACATAATTTGTCACGAGTTTTCAAAAAATCAAAATCAAAATAAAGAGCGCTGGGAAATTTCATACATACCTTAACTTTTAATATATTCACTTTATGTAATACATCTTTATATCCATGAAATTCAAATTGGTTTCTGTATTTTCTCAACATATCCCACCTAAAGAACAGGAGTGGGCAAACTTTTCAGTGCAAGGGCCACATTCAAAATTCACAATTCTATTCGGCCACATAGTATATTAACACAATATATTAAACGTGATGAAATTAATATAATGAATATTATTAATGATAACACTTTTAATCTGCATAATAACCTTTTAAATAATGACAATAGGTATATAAAAGTTACTATAAAGTCTAAGTTAATAGGAGTTGCCAGGTAGGTAATTTCGGACGACTATCGCGAATTTTAAACCTACATATGGCATATAAGACGCAGGAGAATTTTAAAAGATATTTTTATTTAAAAAAAAAAGGGCCTCTTATATACCGTCAAATATGGTAATTCAGTTTAAAGGAAAAAAAAAGTTAATAATATTTTGAAGAAGTAACTTCACATAATTCACAGATTTATTTGAAAAAAAAATATTGAAATTCACAGATTTATTTGAAAAACAAAATAACTCGGCAACAGAAGAATCTCAACGTCTCAATGAGAATAATGTATCTGACAGCAGTCATTTATCAGTTTGTTAAAATTAGGTGTCAAGTTGCTTGTAACAATTATTTGACGTTGCTTCGTAACTTTCTCTTTCAAATTTACTAACATTTGGCGGGCCGTATGAATTCTTTTGGCGGGCCGTATGAATTTTTTTGGCGGGCTGCATGTGGCCCGCGGGCCGTAGTTTGCCCGCCCCTGCTTTAGAACCATTTGTATGTCGTCCATCTTTGCAGTTATTCATATTCCTGTATGTTTTACATTGTTGTTAGAAAGCCAGATGTTAATGTTATTTTATTGGTATTTTATTATATATATATTTATATTTTTTAATAAGTTATTCCCAAGCAATGCCACAAGGCCACTAAGACGCAACGGGTTACTTAGTGTGAAAGAAAATGAGAAAATAAAATATTATTAAAGAGAGAGGAAAATAAAAGAACAGGAATTAATAAGCCAGAAGATAAGATTAAAATTTTTGAAGATCAAAGTTGATTTGAAAGCAAGAACTCAAAAGAGAGTTCCTAAGCGAGAAGTGCGAGAGAAAAACAAATTGTTACGGTTGTGAACTTATGGATATATCTTACGGTTTCAACTGTAAAATGAGACCTTGTCGTAAAGTGTAGGTACCAAATAGAAAACCTCACCAAAACAATTGCCATGAAAATAAAGAATAGCTATATATATATATATATATATATATATATATATATTTTTATTTTAAAATAATACATTTAACATTTTTGCAAATCATTTTCATTATCTTCTTCTTCTTATTGTTAGTAGTAGTAGTAGTACTAGTATTTTTAATATATAGCCATTATCATTGTTTTTTCTTACTTTTAATTTTATCTTTACTCTTGCTATCAGAAACGTCCTTATTATTATTATTATTATTATTATTATTATATTTTCATTTATTTATTTAGTTACTGTTATTTTTTCTTATTTATTTACATATATATTATTTATTATTATTTTCATATATATTATTTATTTATTTATATATATATATTCTTATTTAAGTTTTTTTGTTTATATTATTTTTTTATGTTAGTTTCATTGATATGTATTATTTTATTACTATATTAATTAATTTCATTAATTTTATTTTTCACTGCATATTTTATTAACATTATTAATATCATTACTTTTATTAAGTTTATTAATATTAATATTAATAATATTATTAATTTCCTTATTGGTTTTCATGAAAAAAATAAAATTATCCACCTTGACTTTCAAACTTACTTTTTTATGATACCAACAGCGTCTGTTTACAAATTAGAATTTATAATTCTTATCTCGAACCTTATTTTCAATCTTAAATGTTAAATCTGGGCCTAAATTCCAATCCAAAATTAAACTAATATTCATTTAAATAATTAATAACAATGATAATTCACCCTAACAATAAAATATCACTCGATAACTAGAAATATTTTTTAAAAAAAACAGTGTTAAGCCCCAAAATAACCCAAAACATTCGGTCCTGACGATTGCAGAAGCGATGAAACTTCGAGTTGTGCAATCAATGTAGTGTATTGTGCATATTTTTAATACGCACGCACGCACGCACGCACGCACGCACGCACGCACATATATATATATATATATATATATATATATATATATAAACCTGTCACATGGTATTTTCCACGTGTGCATATCCTAGTCGCAGCTGGCCCAACCACGACGTGTTCATTTGTCAGTGTCAACTGCTGACGTCGGGCGAATCAGGGATCAGCACTCCCGTCTAACAGGTCATCCATCAGGTCAAACCTGCATCTAGCTTCTCTCAAGAACACTGAGTGCAAAGACTGTTAGGCCTCACCTAATGTCAGGCACATATTACACTTTTATCTCAAGCCATTGCTAATGAGTTCGTCCATCAATATGTTACCTTGGGTCAAATCGACCTCTATTCGACAAATATGTAAATATTTATTTCTTTTCTGGAGATTTTACGAGATAAACAAGACGCAATCAAATCTTTGCCCTTCTCCCGTGTGCAGTTCGCTCATCATCTCTAACATCAACAAAGTTAAGCAACGTCGAGTCTGGTCAGTGCCTAGATGGGTGACCGATTGAGATTGCTATATACTGTAAGCTTGGATGTGCAGGTGGTGTAATGGATAACAGCTGTGAATTGGAAATCGGAGAGTCAGTTTCGTTATATTCATTAACACGCAGACAGACTTCGGAAAGTTCTGAACATAACTTTTCTTCCTCCTCCACCTGTGGCTCAATTGGTAGAACTTGTATCACTAGAAATGATTATTATTTCGATAAAATTCTTAAATCTAAAAACATTTTTTGGCTTTAGATAACCTGAAAAAGGTTGATAAGCCGTAAAACAAATCAATCAGTCTAACTTGAACCCTTCACTTGACAACTATGAAATAAATAAGCGTAAAGTCTATTCTAAATCATTATCAGAAGTTAGGCACATCTTACACTTGTATTTTACAATTGAGTTCGTTTGTCAATATATTAACTTTTGGCGAATCGACCTTTTTCAAGAAATATGTAAATATTTGTTCCTTGGGGAAGTGGGGATTTTACGAGAATAATCTCCAGGTGATCAAATCCTTGCCCTTATCGGGTATCTAAGGTTTCCTTTTCCAAGGTGAATTGCTAATGGAACTAAAAAACCTTACGCTATTTTCTATTAACTAATCAGTGATCTGATCTCTTAAATGTAAAGTAGAATATGAAAAAGGATGGAAGTAGGAACAAATGCGTGACTCAAGGTATATTCAGAATCATTTTAATTTACCACTGCCTTGTTACCTTGGAGATATTAAGTCAAGCGTTCTGTCGTCTTTCGCAATCGTTCAGGTCGGCCATGCTGTTAGCCGTGATAAGACATGACCGACACTCATTGTGACGTTACTGATTAATCCGGGATTCTCGGTGGGCAGATTTCAAAAGCTTTCCTTTTCTAATTATCTCAAACTCATTAAACTGGCAGATCAGCTGTTATTCGCTTCTATTCAGAGAGAAATCCAGACACATATACGATGATTCCATACACATCAGGCGATGATGTGTAGGCGAAGATTTCAAGCAATTCAAAGACATAAGCGATTTAGTTTTTAGGATGCCCTATAAATATTACGTAGGTAGATACACAAACACACACACAGAGTCAAACACACACAGAGTCACACACACACACACACATATATATATATATATATATATATATATATTCTCTAGCTCTATTACACACACACACATATATATATATATATATATATATATATATATGTATGTGTGTGTGTTTGTAAGTAATGAAATGGTTTAAGTCCGGCAGTTATTTAATATATTTTCTGTTTATAGGTTATTTTTATGGATACAATTTATTTAAGTAAATGCTCTGTTTTTTTCTTAAATGTATTTAATAATGTATATTTAAAAAGGCTGGTAAATATAATTAATACTGTTTATTAAAAGAGACTATTTAAATAAATTGTATCTAAAAAATAACTTATAAACAGAAAATCTATCTATCTATCTATCTATCTATCTATCTATCTATCTATTGTGTCTATTTAGTCTGTTCATATCTATCTATCTATCTATCTATCTATCTATCTATCTATCTATCTATTTATCTATCTATCACACACACACACACACACACACACACACACACACACACACATATATATATATATATATATATATATATATATATATATATATATAATTAAATTTCCAATGAGCGGTAACCGACCACGACAGCCAGTTTCATACATTTTCGTGCAATCATCAGGCGGTCGGTAACTGTTCTGTGCGAAAATGGGAACTTTATGCCTCTAGGCAAGACCAAGATGGTATATATATATATATATATATATATATATATATATATATATATATATATATATATATATTGTATTGGCGGAGCAGATCATTATTTAAACATTATTTAATTCTGTTGTAATATTTCGGTCTATCGCGTGGTATGACGTCATAGAATCGCATCTTGAACTTACGATAAGCGTCTGTTATTTCGCGACCGTTGTCGTTGCAAAGCAATTTTCTACGTCAAAATGACAAAATATCATCTTTGGAAGTGGATATCTTTGTTTCATGTCTGTATAACAACTCTGAGGATGGCTCATGTCAGCCGAAAGCTTAGGACCAACTTTATAAAAAAAAAGTATCCAAATGTTGAATAATTTTTCTCTTTCTTAAATTAAATCAAATATTATTAAAACGGCTCATGATCAGACATAACAGACATTCGTTGTCTGTTATATTTTTAAATTGTAAGATTTTTTCTTTTTTAGCGATTATAATGATTTACTGATACAAGTTTTACTAATTAACCCGTAGATGATTGTGAATAGATGAATTCCTATTTCGAAGTGTTTATGGTAAGCTTTATATTGAGATGAAGTCCAATTCTTTTGATTTCATTCTTTATGGGCTTTGAAGTTTATCTAAAAAACTAACTTTTGCGTTATCGCCTATGCTTCTCTTTCCATTTACGACTTGTGGATTTTATACGCTTTTCTTTTGGTATTGTATGGGAAATAACTAGGATAGTGGAGGATGCAAAATATAGTTTCAGCGTTTTGTTCTACATCAGACAGATATTCGGCGCAGCAAATTTGAAAATATTCCTAAAAAAGACTATAATTATTCCAGATGGTATCTTGTTGTGAAGTGAATCGAAGTTTATTAAGTTTTATTTTTTGACTTACCACAGACGCTTAGTTTTAAACCAGTATCAGGTCGAAATAAAAGAACATTCTTATTATTTGTTAAAATTAGTTAACACCAAATGTATAATGCGACCGTTAAAGGGAAACTCATGCGTCACGTCTTTTCCCGCTAATGTAAATTTTGTTCTTGTGAAAAAAAATTATCCACCCGATGACGCCAGTTTATCGGAGAAACATGTTAAAGAAGATATATTCAAAATATATTTACCATTCCGTCAAAATGACAAGCTCGGTCCTCTTGTTGCAAATGTGACGCATTAGACGACATGAAATTGAGAAGATCTTTCTCTGTTTTCACTTGCATCCGTCCAAAATATGCATTGCCTTGTCAACAATTGATTTTTTAATCCAAAATTTCTCATTAACCATGTACATTTAGTGTATTTAATAGGAATAGACAGTTTTGGCTATAGCCAGGTTCACACTCCTCTTCAGTCTTTTGAACAGGAGTAGAGGTTTACCTCTTGTTTCCTGTTTAGGATTAGGTTTCCGGTTCTTTCTAAATTGGTTTACTTCTATTTTACTTCCGGTCGCACGTTGAGCCTTGGGGGTGGCTCTTACTCTATAACCATATAACTCGAGTGGCTTTTGAGCCTTGTTTAGGATGAACAACACTGTAAAAAAAAATAAAACACTGTAAAAAAACCTTCTATCAGCTTGCGCATTCGAGAAACCTTTTTTTTTTTTAAGCATGACGCCCCGAGCAAGGTGGGAAGTCACTAGGACGCAAGGGGTTACAGAAGATTTGGAGCGAGAGCAGATAGGAGTGATAGAAGAAAGGATGAGGAGAAGGATAGCGGGTAGATCAAGGTAACTGGAGGTGTCGATTGACATTACATTTGAATAGTTGGAGACTATAGCTCTCAGGGAAACAGTAATTGGGAAGGGTATTCCACAGGCGAGAGCTGTGAGGTATGAAGCTATTGGAGTAGAAGAGACGGCTACATTTAAAAGTTTCTACAGTATAAGGGTGAGAGTGGGATGCCAGCCTCGTGGGGCGCTTGAATTCATGAAATCTGGGAACCAGTGAAAGCAGCTCATCGAAGCAATTACCATGAAAGTATTTGTAAAAAAGACAAAGAGAGGCGACGGAACGTCTGTGAGAGAGTGACTGTAGACGAGATGCCAGAAAGAAAACGCGTTGTCCGACCAGAATCGAACCTGCCATTTGTTGGGGAACTCCCGTTTGATCCTGCGTACTTTACCATTCTTGATGAGGGATATGCTTTCCTTAAAAGGGTAAAATAGACCATTACCTACTGGGCTGTTCTTCGTGGCCTTGCGAAAAAGTATGCTAGATCAAACTGTGGTTGCCCCTACGAAGTGGGAGTACAGGTTGAATCTCTGTCGGAGAACAAATTTTCTTTAGTAAAATTTCTCGAATACGCAGAACGATAGACGTAATCAACTTTGTTTAACAAATAAAAAATGGGTCGTCTATTTCAGATACGAAGTATCAGCTATAATAATGCTTGAAGTAATAAACTCCGTTGCTAATGATGAAGGAAGAGTTACTTTGCACAACTAGCATTTACTGTTCAACAGTCAAGTGTTTCGGTGCATTTATTTCAATGGGAAATATAAATCCAGTAAATAGGACAATATACAGTGAAAATTTCAGATCAAGATTCAACGGCGACGGAATATTGAACCACTCTTGTCTGTACGTATATATATATATATATATATATATATATATATAATATATATATATATATATAGAACATAGAAGTCAACAAAGTTAGATGCAATCGTCAGGCCACCGTGGCCTGACGATTGCATCTAGCAGGAAACAGACCGTCGCCTCTAAGTGTTGATTCTATGTTCACTTTTATATTTATACACGCTCTATCTCTGATATTGAGCACTTTATTCCATAAATATAGCACATCTTAAGACTATATTTCTTCATATATATACATATATATATATATATATATATATATATATATATATATATATATAGATAGATAGATAGATAGATAGATATTATACATACACATATATGTGTGTTTGTGTATGCGTGTGTGTGCATAAAATAGATCGGTTGGTTAATAAAACAAAGACAAAACAAAGGGTACCAATATAGTCAGTAAGATAAACATTTATTAAATTTTAATCATATCAAAGAAATGAAGCACGGAGAGAAAGGATTTCGTTCGGAATTTTCGGACACGCCTGTGGCCTTCATCAACAGTACGAGGAACAAACAGAGAAATAGGCATTACAAACCTTCAGATGTTTTTGTAGATGGGGAATATGCTTCCCATTTGAAATCGTATTATTAGCAAAAAACAGATCTCTGTCTGTGTCCTCGATGTGTGAAAGTTTCACAAAAATAAACTTAAATTAAAAATCTTGATCAGTGTAAAAGTGTTAGGCAGGTCTATTGTTGCTAGTGTGTGTAATGTGGTGAGTGAGATTGTCAACATTGAGGAAGAGAGTTATAGGTTGGGGAGAGGAAAAGACGTCTCGCGTGTAGCAAGTTGTAGTAAAAATTGGCAAACCACATGGTAGAGTGTTGAAAAACGGGAATATGGTTAGAATATGATGTTTTGAAAAGGAAGAAAGAGAAAGCAAAAAAAAAAAAAGAAGAAAAATCGTAGAAAAAGGTCATATGTAATAATAAAATATTATCAAATAAAATAAAACGGAAAGAAATAGAGAAGGAACAAAAAATATACATAATAATTTGGAAATCTATTGTTAACAAAAAGGGTTTAATATAATAAAGGAAAAACTGAAGGATAAAAGCGTGTACATATATAGATGCACATGCGTACATACGTGCACATAGCAGTGTGTAAATATACACAAACCACCACACAAACATATGAATCAACATACACGTATAGATATAAATACATGTACAAAATTAATATGTATCATCACTAACCTTCCCCTTTTCTTATATAAGCTTATATGTAAGCAAATATATGGATATAGATCCGACAGTATGAAGAAAAAAATACTAATATGCGATTATGCTGTTTTAATGTTTAATGTCGACGTCGGACGTTTCGGTCTAACAGACCATCTTCAGGACATATTCATGAAACATAATTAACATAGACCATATACAATTCAACATGTAAAGGAGCCATAGTGATAGATTTAATAATGGTATAAAGAAGGTGAGTAGAAAGTAGCTTTCAGTGTATAGGACAATCCTTCTATTGCTGACTAGAGTGTCATGAGGGAAAATCATAAGTGGTAGAACATAAAATATAATAGGTAGGTGGGGTGATGGTGAAAAAAGTGGGTGTAAGTCTTAATTTTCCGAGAAGTGGTGTTGCTGATTATGGGTTTCCCTACGGAAATTGTACTCTCTGAGAAAATCCAAATCCCTGTTTAGTCGCTTAATATAGGAGGAAGCTACTTTTAGTTCCGATCTGTATCTGTCCTCCCTGCTGTCGAACCAAGACGCTAAAACCACGCATTGGGCGTCGTCGATGCTATGGGCAGGTTGGTTGGGGGTGACCGGATAAAAACTGTTTTTGCTGTCCATGACGCTTTTATTTTTATTTTTGTGGTTATTGAACCGTAGATGGAACTCTGTTCCGGTTTCTCCAACATAATTTCCCTTCCTCGCATTTGTGACATACACACACACACAGACACACACACACACACACACACACACACATATATATATATATATATATATATATATATATATATATTTTGGTTGGATAGATGTGAGGCACCTTGTTACTCCAGGACAGAAAATTAGAGGTTTAGAGAGGGCGAGTTCGTCTTGAATAAGTTGGAAAATGATCCACGAATAATATATACAGTGTAACCTGGATATAAGAGAGTTGT